ACCCTTTAGCTTACCAATTTTTTTTTTCATTTTATTGTTAAGAGTGTGAATTAAGGGCTGCAGAGATGGCTCAGTGGTTAAGAAGTATTTAAGCGGCTGCTTTTCCAGAGGTCCTGAGTTCAATTCCCAGCAACCACATGGTGACTCACACCATCCATAATGAGATCTGATGCCCTCTTCTGTTATGCAGGCATGCATGCAAATAGAGCACTCATTTACATAAATGAATTTTTTAATAATATGAATTAAGTAATAAAATACTGCTTATAATCAAAATTACAGTATAAATAAGCAAAATTGCATGTGCGTCAGTAAAAGTATGCTTTCCATTACTTTTATTATAATAAAAGTATTCATTTTTTTATTTCTTAGGAGAACAAAATGGGAAAGCAGGTGTGATGCAGACCTGTAATCCAACACTGGGGAGGCTCAGATAGGAAGATTACAGGTTCAAGAGCAGCCTGTACTCTATAGCTCCAGGCCAGCTTAGGGTACATAGCAAAACCCTACCTCAAAAAATTAAAGGTGGTGCTGTGGGATGGTCTGTATGTTAAATTGTTCAGATTGGTCAATAAATGAAACACTGATTGGCCAGTGACCAGGCAGGAAGTATAGGCGGGACTAACAGAGAGGAGAATTGAGAGAACAGGAAGGCAGAGAGAGTCACTGCCAGCCACCGCCATGACGGGCAACATGTGAGGATGCCGGTAAGCCACGAGCCATGTGGCAAGGTATAGATTTATGGAAATGGATTAATTTAAGCTATAAGAACAGTTAGCAAGAAGCTTGCCACGGCCATACAGTTTGTAAGCAATGTAGGTCTCTGTGTTTCCTTGGTTGGGTCTGAGCGGCTGTGGGACTGGCAGGTGACAAAGATTTGTCCTGACTGTGGGCAAGGCAGGAAAACTCTAGCTACAAGGCAGGAGAGAGACAATGGAGGGAAAAACGAGAGAGAAAGGGAAGAAGGAATAGAAGATGGTTAGCCAGTGCCAGTCACCAACAGGTACACGGAGGATGGAACCCCAAGATGCCACATATCAGACGAGGCTACACGGTTAACCCTTCAGCTTTGGGCCAGAGCCTTGAATTATTGACTTGCCAGAGTTCCCTCCCCAACTCTTAGGAACCCTGGAGCTATAGGCAGAGATGGAGTCTCTATTAGCTCTCAATTAGCCTGTCTCCTGGAGTAGCAGGATGGTTGAATGCCTGTTCCAACCCGTGTGGTAGGTATGTAATATGACGAAGAAAGAAACCTTTACTCCTGTGAGCCTGTTAATATTAGGTTGTTTCACTTTCTCTTTTTATATTTTTTTAGATTTATTTTTGTTTTATGTGTCGGAGTGTTTTTCCTGCACATACGTATGTTCACTATGTGCGTGCAATGACTATGGAGGCCGGCAGAGGACATAGGACCCCATACGTCTGTGACAAGAGACAACTGAGCAGCCATATGGTGCTAGGAACGGAACCTGGGTCCTCTGGAAGAGCAGCCAGTTCTCTCAGCCACTGAGCCAGCTCTCCAGCTCTCCTTTCTCCTTTTTTTAAAAAAACACACATATTTATTTGTGTGGGGGAAGCAGCACACACGCCATGTCACACATGGAGAAATCAGAGAATAACTTGCAAGAGTCAGTTCTCTCCTTCCACCATGTGGGTTCCAGGGATCGAACTCGAATCAGAAGGTTTTGCAGCACGTATCTTTACCTGCTGAGCCATCTCCTCAGCCCAAGCTGTTTCTAAATTCCAGGCCAGTGTGCATGGGTCTTTAATAAGGGAGAATAAGGAGACGAAGCTGTAATGAGGTAAAAAGGTTAACAAAAATTCCACCTGACTCCTCATAGCTCGACTAACATGCTATACACCCACATGTGGAACATCACAGCCCTCTGTACCTCAGTCCCTTCAACCATACCATTCAACCATTAATGCTGTCAACCACTACGAATTTGATAATTATTCACTGAATCAGTTAATTAGTGACTGCATAGGTTGGTATATTAGAACTAACAGTTGGTCTTCTCTTCAGAGGGCCATCTTGGTAGCAAGAGAGTTGCTGGTTTTCTCATTTGGTTTTATGGAGCACCACAGATTGAGCCTCGGTAGGGAAAGTGTGCAGATGTCTGCCAACATTGACTGGCTGGGGCAGAGTGAGCAGAGTGGAATCATACACAACTTCGTAGACACTCTCTCAAGGGGCTACTTTGCTGTGACTCAGAGGCCCAAACTCCTACCAGTCCTGACAGTTTGCTTCAGTTTCACTTAACTTTTTATTGCCTGTAAACAGAAAATTCCTAACATTCAGTCAGCCTCAGGAATTTCATTTCCTTATGTGTCATAACAGAACTGCTCTAAGGGGCCCTGGGCGGGACTTCTCCTCAGGAAGCCAAGATGCAGAATAAGGTCTCCAGATCTGCTCATGGGTGCTGGCGAGGATGGGTCTCATGCACGCTATGCATCTTCTTAGTCCTACAATCACTGAAGCAAAGATCTGATAGTAAGTAAACAGTTCATAAAAGACCTTCCATTTTGACATACTCTAATTTCTAAACTGTGCCCACTATTTGATTTCTTATTATGATAGCTCATTAAATGCATTGTTGCCACCAAAAAATAAAGAGATAACACATCTGATAGTGAACAATAAAGCAATCTTGAGACAACTTGAATTGCATCTTTATGAAAGAGAGAATGTATACATCCCAGTATAAGAATAAAGAACCCCAAAGCAATCAATGAATGAAAGAAACCCCCAGTTCTGGTCAAACAGAAATTCTGAAGATTTCAGGGTTGGTTTTCCCAGAATAATGTATAGAAATACTCAGAAGACTGCTTAGTATCCTACACAAGCAAAGGATAAGGTGGAGAAGGTCGCTTCAAACGTTTAAACCAACTGCAAGCTAGCCTGTCTTGGCATACAAGGTGTTAACACTTTTCTATGGGGGACAGACAGGAAGGACCAGCTCCTTCTGTCTTTAAGGATTGGGGACCTGAAATCACAGGTCACAGAGAATGAGGAAACAAAGTCATCTCTGGTGGCAATGAGTGGAAAGAATGGACGTACCACCAATAAAGGGGAGAGGATGGTTACCTCCCGGGTAGACACAGACAGCCAGGCGGCAGGTCTTCCCCCGGGGATGCAGCCCCACCCACGTCTGCCCACACATTAGACGACTCACAGTAGCAGATAGGGTCTTCAGCAGTTTGAACAGTTACCTTCAAATCTCTAGGCATTTGGGGCTTTTAGAAACCAGAACTTGGGCTGTGTCCTGCTCTTTTACAGATCAGAAGGCTCCACTGAATGGAAGGCGCATACTCAATGTGGAATGAATCCGAATGACTTTATGGCCACTTCCTAGGGCGGAGAGAGGAACTGCATGCCCAAACTAAACTCCAGAATACCCAGCAGCCAGTGAACCTCGCCCACGATGCCCTAACGTCATATGAAAGTCATGGGTACAGTGATCCCTTCTTCAAGTAGGAGAAAAATACTCTATCCCTAGAGGACTGGGCACCAAAGTTCAGCAAGAAAGCATCCAGTTCCTTCAATAGTCTATCCCTCCACAGCAGTGCCAATGGTTCAGCACAACTGGTCTGCAGCTGGACAGAAATCCCTAACACGGGGACAGATGGTCTCTAAATGACTTTATTAAGGATTCACATTCGTATTAGTTACGTGTACACTGCTGTGATCACAGTCTCTGGCAGGAATAAGCAATGAAAGATTTGTTTCCGTTCATGGTTTCAGAGGGTCTCAGTCCATTACAGAGGAGAAGGCAGGTGGAGTGTCAGGCGCATGTAGCAGAGGCTGCTCACACCATGGTGGACGAGGAGTAGAAAGAGCAACAGGGACCAGGGACTGAGCGACAACCTTCAAAGATGCCCCATAGCAACCTACTCCCGAGCTAGGCTCCCACCCCCTGAAAGTTCTACAATATAACACCACAGTTGGGAAACACGTGCTCAAAGGGTGAACAAGTGGGAGACACTGGGAGACATTTCAGACTCAAACAATAACATCTCTTTCTCTCTGTAAATTATTTCATTCAGCCAACTAGCAGTTCTTTTTTTAATTCATGTGTCTGTGTGTGGTGTGCACATGTATGGGTATGCATATTCACACATGTGTGAATGCATGTATGTGTAGGTGGGTCCATGTACATATATGTGCCTGTGGAGGCCCAAGGTTGATGTTAGGAATCCTCCTTAATTGCTCCTTCACCTCATTCACTGAGACAAGGTCTCTCAATCAAACCCAAATTCACCAATATGGCTACTCTAGCTAGCCAGTTGCTCTAGGGATCTCCTATTTCTGTCTTCCAAAACTGGAGTTACAGGTGAGCCACCATGCCCATCTGGCATTCACATGGGCTCCAGGATTCCTAACTACACCCCTCCTGCTGGCTATTTAACCTCGGAGCCAACTCTGAGGTCTCCAACAAGCAATTCTTAATATTGATTTTACTTAGTCTTTCTCTATCAGTCTCCCAAAGATGGAGTCAGAGTCTTTCATTCAACTGTGCATCAAAGATAGAAGACACTACTGAAGGTTTAAAGTTAACTGATTAAACAACTAACTATACAGTACTAGATTCGACTTATATTTATATATTTCCAAATCCTTCATTTAATGTCCTGTTATCTTTAACAATTACTCCCTTCTAACACTGTCAGCCATTGTAAACATGTTTTAAGTTTCCTATTGCTATGATAAAAAAAAAACACCACAACCAAAACCAAACTTGGGGAGGGAAGGGTTTCTCTCATCTTATAACTCTCGGGTCACATATCATCACTGAAAGAAGTCAGGGCAGGAATTCAGAGAAGGAACCTGAAGCAAAAGCCATGGAGGAGCCCTGCTTATGTCTTTGTCCCCCCTTCATTTCCTCATTTGACTCTTTTTTTATACAACCCAAGACCACCTGCCTGGGGTTGCTCTCAGGGGGCTGAACGCCCCCACACACATCAATTATTAATCAAGAAAACACTCCAGACTTGCCTACAGGCCAATCTGATGGAAGCGAGGTTCTCTCTTCCCAGATGATCCTGGCTGGTGTCAAGTGGACAGAATAGCAAACAGGCACAAGATGCAGAGATCTCTCACGTCCTCACACTGCCTCATCTGTAAAACCGAAATAAATGAAAGGTGAGATTGTAAGATTTGGGTACCTGAGATGTAAATCATGTTGTGCTCTAGAGTAAAGCTTTTTGACTTCCAGATCTCAGATCCCGAGTACACAGACTCAGCACACACCGGAAACAATTACTGGACAAGGTGAGGACTGGACCCCTTACAGCGATGTGGAAAATGCAAAGCGGTGGAACCTTCAGAACGAATACGTAGCCAGACAGGGCCTCAGTTCCTTGCAAGACCCAACTGGTATACCTAAGAGCCCCAAACACCAAAATACCTCCAAGCTCAGAAGAGGCTCCATTTCCACACCATTTCAGTTCTTCTGCCAAAGCTGCATATGGCTTTGCTTTTGTAGGTGTATTTTAAAGGCTTCTAAGTAAAATATTTACATCGGTAGGTCCTAATGTTTGTTTGTGTCCCAAAGTATACAAGGTATGGCCTATTGCCAGTGTTTCTAGGACTGTTATCATGACCCTTAACACACTTGGAAACAGTGGTTTTTAAAGATACGCTCATTCGTAGTCACAATCTTACACTAACTCCTTTATGAATTTTCTTTTTCTGTTGTTCAAATTACTAATATTTTGGTAATATTATAGCCAAAGCCAGGCATCTAGTCCCATCATCAACTAAAACTCCCATTGCTATAAATGTAAGATAGTGTGAATGTAAACAGCTCCAATTTAGATGGCAGAAATGGATATCAATCAAGGCCTGACTGTCCGTCAAGCAAAAGTGGAATAACCCCTTATTAGTATTTTGGGCTAAGCTGATGAAAGATATCTAAGGAAATCACTTTGTTGACTGAAAAGAAGGTTGGAACATTGTTTTGTTTTTGTTCTGGGTTATTTTTCACTTATTTTAACTATAGGGTTATCAAATTGCTGTAAGCTTTATTGTCTTAACGCAAACACAAATCACAATTACTATTGCTACAAATTCCTCATTTCAAAATGTGAAACAAATAGAGATTGATTCTCCCATCCTACACTCTTCATGGAGCAATTACTTGGGGGATGCTGATAATAATGACTGGTCATTTACCTGATGGCTTGTAGGTCTACATGAGATTTTATTTTGAAAAAATAATAATTGAAACTAGTCAACAGGTGTATTAGATTTAAACTCTTTGCCTCTTTTGATACATTTTAAACAGTTTTTTCTCTATTTCAATGTTATCAGCACTTCTTTAACTGGCCTTTCACTTGTTATTCTCAGTTACAGGAAGTTCATATTAATTATTAGCATTTTTCTTAACATAAGCATCCAATTAACAAGTTGGAACTTGACTTCTACCATTTACAGACATGTTTCTCTCCACTCATACTGAGCCCCAATGTAAACCTGAACAGCATAGTTATTACATATTAGAACTTCCCTCCATAAAGTAAGGGCAGATGCTGGCAAAACTATGAGCCAAATCAGCATCAAGCCATCACAGTCGTGGTGTGAGATGAGAATGTAACCAACATGTCCCACCAAGGGATTTATTTTTTATCCAAAGGATGCCTTACCTGCTTCACTCACTTTCCCGAGTGAAGCACAGAGCATTTCTCATAACGTGTCTGTATCAGATCAACCTAGAAGATGCAGGATGGAAACCCATTACAGGGAGTGGAGAGACGGCTCGACAGTTAAGATAGCTTGGCGCTCTTGCAATGGACCACCATTCGGTTCCTATCACCCATGCTCACAGTGTGGCCTGTAACTCCAGCTCTAGAGGGACCCTACGCCCTCTTCTGGCCTTCACAGGCACCTACACACACATGCATATACACACACTCAGACACAAACGTATATACAAATAAAAATAAAAAATGAAGAAAACTCATTTTATCCTTACTGTATGTCGAACAATAAAGTAAATATTCAGTAAAGATGCATTTCTGGAAGTTAATTACGAAATTTTTGATGGATCTCTATTTCTAACAGCATCAACAGTAAAATCCTTCCAATTACATAAGAAATGGGAAAGAAATTCTTAAAAATGCAAGCAGTTATTAAAGGAAAAAGGCAAGTTATTACACCAGGGGATTCTGAAGGCAGGGGTTAACTAGCTGAATTCAGTCACACTGAAGGTTAACTCTAATTTACACTACTTCAGGTCACTCCATGTTGAGATCATGAATACATGTGGAAACAGCCCCAAGTCACCTGGGTGGAGGTAGGAAATCAACAGCCCAAGAGCAAACCTGGAAGAGTGTACTAACTAGCGAGTTACGAGGACTCACAGCCACTCTGAGTATGACAAAAAATTTGACAAGAGATCTTGATGTCTCAATTAAGATCAAGACACTGAGACAAAGATTTTCCTCAGCAAGATAGAATATGAAACAGGCCGGCTTCCCACAGTCTTCCAGATGGCTGCTTTCTTGCTTGTTCGTCCTTCAGATAACTGCTGTATGCTGGCGACCCCCAAATTTTTATCTGCAGGGATGACCTCACTCAGCCTCAGACTACTGTCTAACTTCTGGTCATTTTCCTTCAGATGTGTCACACAAAGGAATCTCATGCCACACACTGCTTCCTGCCTAGATGAGCTCCATCTCTTAGGATCCATCTCTGCTTAAATCATCATCTCACTAGCCAAAGACTGAAGCCTAGTTCATTTTAAAGTCCAAACTCTTCCCACCTGATCCTCTCTGCTCACGGCATCTGGTCCATCAACCTGCCCAGTGCTCCTCTGTTACAAGTCCTCTTTTCATCATTTCTGCCTCAGTTTACACACCTCACCTCTAGCCTCATTCTAGCTCATCTTGGTTCTCTAGGCTCCGAGCTGCTTACTCTTTTTGGCCTCCAGATTCAACTTCCTCAATGCACACCTAAAGATATCATCTTCCCTGAAAAGCCTTCAACACTTCTCCACTCCCTGCAGGATAAAAGATACAGAACACTCCAATGCTTTGTAGTTTAACACTTTCCTTTCCACACAGCCTCACCTTTCTTCCCAAGCACCCTGTACCCAGCTACGTCTACTGGCATCCAGGGACAGCCTTTGCACTCCGCCCTAGAAAACCAGCAGCAGGGCAGTGGTTGTGGCTTCTTTGTTCCTTGACCACCTCTGTGGACCCAAAAGAAAAGCACTCTTCCTACATGGATCACATGTCCCACATATTAGGCACACCAATCCTGATGTCCTAAGACAGTTTCCGACACATTTGCCAACTGTAATTACTGTATTTGTAAATTATCCGCACGGTTATTCAGGAAGATGGTCTTCAAAACAAAACTTCATCAGACTGAAAGTTACATAGCAAAGCACCCCAGGCCCCACCTATAAATAACATGCGAAGAAAACTGACGCCATAAGATGCTCCTGGGGATGAGTCTACTGTCCTTTGGACGACTACACAGCCCTGACTTCTTTATCACAACACCCACATTCCAAGAAAGATATGCAGATGAAATGTAGAAAGCAGCAGCAATTCAGACCCCAGGAGAAGGAAGAAAAACTGTTTATTGTGCATCTGTCTGAGCCTAGACAGACCTCAGACACTTAGTGTAGAGTAGGCATCTCTCCTAAGCACTCCGCTTACTAAATAGCTAGCTAGCATCTTCAAACAGCCTGGGGCAGGAATCAAGACCAAAACAAAAACAAATATGTCACTGAAGTAGAAAGCCTACTTAGAAAAGGACTGGTTGACACATTTTTTATTAAATTTATTTTTATTTCCTTTATGTGTACTATATGTTACATCATTTCTCCCTCCCTCTCTCCCTCCCTCCCTCCCTCCCTCCCTCCATCCCTTCTATGGGCCTCCACTCCCTCCTCAAGTCCTTTTCTGTATTATTATTGTTACATACATAAATGAATAAATATATAACTATAACCTGCTGAGTTCATTTAGTGTTGCTCAGATGTACCTATTTTACCAGATGACACATCTGACCAGTCGCATTTGTGTTGTGACATCACATGGTCTACAACCAAATCTCTTCTGTTTCCCTGCCTGTCCCCTTCAATCTTGCCTACATCACCCTCTGCCCACACTCAGGACATCTCACACATGACCATCATTAAAATGATTTCTCTAATGACCTTCACACCGCCTGCTTGAAAATGCTTCTACCTCTGGGGAGACCAAAGTCTTCCCAAGAATCCCATCAAAGCCCTAACATTCTCCCAGCACTGGAGATGATACCAAGGAATTCACAGATGCCTCTAGTTCCCTCAGAGTCAAAACACACTGTTTTGGGGCTAAGGAGATAGTTCACTGAGTAAAGCATATATCCCTAAAGTATCCCTAAAACTCATGGAAATCCAGGCATCGCACATATCTGTAATCTCAGGGTTCCCAACAGAGACAAAATGTGGACACAGGAGAATCCCAGAAGCTCCAGAGCCAACTAGTTTGGTGTATGTAGCAACAAACCAGAAACCCTGTATCATAGTGGAAGACTATGAACAACATCCAAGGCTGTTCTCCAGCCCACATGCAAACCATGGCATGGGCATTCCCACACTTACATCAACACACATACACAGATTTAAAAAAAAAAAATAGATTGGTCCATCTTCCTGCCCTTTCCATATTGAATCCAAAAAGGACTCAGCAAATGACTTCCATTTGGAAGAACTTGGAAGAATTATTCAACTCTACAATGATGCTTTTTTGAAAGGCTGGCCCATGTACACCACCAAAATCAAGACTTTAGGAGGTCGCTTTCTTTGAAGGGCATGTCCTCCCAGCAAATACCCTCACAGACGCACCAAGTGTGACTTTGCGGGGACTGCTGAGACACAGTCTGTTACAACTGGCATCAGTTGCCACAAGCAAGCTCTGAGAACCTGACCCTGGCAAAGCACATTTTACACTCCAGTGCTGCTCATCCGGGTGATACCAAGTGGGGAGGCAGGGTAGGAGGACTGGGGGGGCAGGGGAAAGTGTTGGGGGTGGGGGGGCAGAGAAGAAAGTCCTGGAGCAGGATGCCAGGCACTGCCCCCAAAGACACCATGCTGCAGCAGCTACCTCACCCACACAGACAGA